CCAAACAAGAGCTCCACCGGGAAAGTAGCATTCTAAACCAATACTGAGTTGGAAATAGATTAGAAGCCACCATCATGGGCTGCTCTGCGGCTAAAAAAGCTTTCGTCTGAATCCAGTGGACTCCACATCCATCTACCCTTAGAGCTCCCATAGAACAAATGAGGGCTGAACGGCTCCCGTGGATACCCACTACGGGGCTACTGTGTCCCCGTTTGTTTTGTTGCTATGATAAACCTTGACCAAAAGCAACCTGGGTCCTCTCAGGCTTACTTCAGCTCACACTTTTAAGTCACAGTCCATGACTGAGGGAAGCCAAGGCAGCACCTCCAGACTGAAACCTGTAGGTGGAAAGAGAAGCGGAGACCAAGGAGTTTCCGGCTCACCTTTCAGCTACTTCGGCTGTCCAGACCCACCTGCAACACCCACAGTGGGCTGGGCCGTCCTACGACCAAGAAAAATGCCCCCAACAGACATGCCCACAGGCCAATCTAATGGAGGTAATTCTTCAGTAGAGGGTCCCGTTTTCCACGTGTGTCACCTTGACAACCAAGTTTAGCTTCCATAAGCAGCTGGTCCACACGCAGAAACCAGAGACCCAGAATCATGTGCTTTGCTTAAAAGTGAAGTTTGAATGTATGTCATAGAATCAATCACTCCCTGTGTCTGCAATCTGGGCCGTTTGTCTCACCAACAAATGAGTTTTTATCTTTTGTGGGGCACTATAGCCACGCAAAAGGTGGCAGCCAGGAATAAATCTCAGCTGTCATTCCTCAGCCACTATTTATTTACTTACTTATTTTTATTTGTTTATTTATTTTTGAGACAGAACCTAGTATTTGTCAAGTAGGCCAGGCTGGTTGACCGGCCAGCAATTTCCAGGATCAGCCAGTTTTCATCTCCCAGTGCTGTGATTCCAAGTGTGCACCTGTGTCCAGCTTCTTAATTTTTTTATATGTAGGTGTTTTGCCTGCATGTATGTCTGCATCACTTGTGTGCATGGTACCCACAGGGTCTGAAAGGATCTCATGGAACTGGAGTTACAGATGGTCGTGAGCCGTCATGTGGGTGCTGGGAGTCAAACAGGCGTCCCCTGAAAGGGCAGAAACATCTCTCCATCTACTCCCTTCCCCCTCCTTAATGTGGGTTCTGGGATGACCCTCAAGCACTGTATTGACTATCTTCTCAGCCGGGGACTTCTATTTAAAGAGTTGCCTTGACATTTCCTTAAGGACTCAAAACAGGTGCAGGGCTTTGGAACAGACAAGGGACTGAGAGTGGCATTGTATACTCATTATGTCATTGTGCCCTTAGCCCTGAGGAAGTTCATAGCACATGAAGAGGTGAAGCTACTTCCTTAAAGGATGAAGACATATAATGGTCACGTTAGCCAGACCTCACTGTGATGTGAGGAGCAGGAGCAGCCAGGCCCTCTGCTGAGAGGAAGTGAACTGGCCAAGTGGCCTTGAACGGGTCCCAAGCCTCAGAGGAGGCAGATGCCAGTCTCAGCATCTGTGAACAGGGACCAGCCTTGGCAGGCTGCGATAAGGCCCTGACTCGACTCTTTGTTCTCCCAGGCTTGGCAGCAGATAGAAAGTGAACTCTCACAGGCAGCAAGAACCAGCCTTATCCTTTGGGTCAGTGCCCATCTGTCAGACACTTGACAAAGTTGTGTTCATACTAGGAAATGCTCAATATAACCCCATTTACTGTGTGACACACAAAATTTATGTCATGTCTTGGAGAACGTAGCTCTGAAAACACTCAATGTCAAAAGCATACGTGACAAAAGGGGCACTTCTTGTGTTGCCTGGCACCTCACATGACCTTCCAAACCCATCCATACCCGTGGAAAGTACGGGTCTCCACATCTACTAGTGGTTTTCGTTTTGGTTAGAGAATTCATATTTTTCCCTTTATGTACATCTGACTGTAGAAAAGTACATCTATATATAGTGTTGACAAGCTGAAACAACTGTTAACACTCTCAAATATTTGTTCAAGTAAAAAACACTTTTTTTTTTCAAGACAGGGTTTCTCTGTGGCTTTGGAGGCTGTCCTGGAACTAGCTCTTGTAGAACAGGCTGGTTTCGAACTCACAGAGATCCTACTGCCTCTGCCTCCCGAGTGCTGGGATTAAAGGTGTGCACCACCAATGCCCGGCTGTAAAATATACTTTTATGGGGAAAAGCAAAACAAAACCAGGCTCCAGAATTCACAACAGGCAGGTTTTTTTGTTGTTGTTTTTTCTAACAGTCCCCAAGAGCAGATAGTAAAAGAATTGTTCTATTCATTACCAGCTTTAAGTTCATAATGGGCCTACTATGTGCTTTTTTTTCTTCCACCTGAAGACTCACTCTGGAGCTCTCACATGAGTTTGTCTTGGGAGATGCTTAGATTCTCACCTACAGCCTTCCTCTTAGGAGTTCAGGGTTAACTACTGCAGCCTTCCACTTGCAGCTTTAGCAGTGGAATTCGCAGTATGGATCTTGAATCCTCTTTATACTTCATGAGTTCCAGCCTGGCTTTGCTATGCCAGAGTCCTAATCTCTTTAACCTGACTTCACAGTGGGGGCCTGCCCAGGCTATCACACTGGTTCAGACCCAAGGCATGAGCAGTGGTGAGACATGGCTGTTCTTTTATGTTAACCTGAAAGATGTGGAAATTATTGAGTTGGCATGATGCTTCATAGTGAATTGATCTCAGAGACCCAGGAGAGTTCTGATGTTAAGCCACACCCTCGTGGTTATGCCAGCTGCTAACTGGTAGGCCAACACCTACATTTTCTAGAGCTCTTCTCCTACATATATCTGTTGCTGCAATTTTTCCCAAGTTTCTGTTGCTGTGACATGCTTTTTTCTTTTCCTTTTTTGGTTTTTCAAGACAGGGTTTCTCTGTGGCTTTGGAGACTGTCCTGGAACTAGCTCTTGTAGACCAGGCTGGTCTCGAACGCAGAGATCTGCCTGCCTCTGCCTCCCGAGTGCTGGGATTAAAGGCATGTGCCACCACTGCCAGGCGCTGTGACATGCTTGTAACAGCATAAGAATCCAAATTGAACTTTGGTGTCTCCAGGCCAGTCTGAGGTCTGGCCATCAGTTGTGAGCTGTGGAGTTATACATATCCAACTTGCTCTTTCACTATTTGTAAGGTGAACATAGACTATATATAACACATAAAACATACTATCCAAGGACAGTAACAGTTACCCTTATCCAGGGCAAAGTCAGGGTTCTCTTAGCTTCACAAAGGTGGTCTTAAATACCCTGGTGGTGCTCACTTCATCTGTGTGTGATACCTTAGGCCGAGGCCTTCCATACCAACTCCTGATGGGAAGCCAGATCTGAAGGGAGAGTGCCGTGTCTGGGGACTTCCATGACTATACCAGAACAGCAGGAGCTGGGGATGGTGGAACAGGGAAGGCTGAGATACATAGCACTTATTTACATAGGGTAAGAGAATAGCTTTCTATATAGATAGGATAGCCAGGTCTCCGGCCTCCTGTTTAGGTTCTTGGCATTACAACCAAAACAGTTAATGCTTGTGAACCAAAACATTACTTATGCATGAAGTGAGTTTTAGCTTTACATTCCACTGTGTTTGCTTTGGTAAGAACCACCTCTAGCCCCTGTAAATCTTGATGTAGCACAACCAAAGAAAACTGATACTGTTTATGATCTGTTTCCGTTTGTTTAGTGTCTTCAAGAGCTAGGAAACAATATTTTCAGTTCTAATTCTGAGGAAATAAAGATGTATTGAAGTGGAGAACTCATGTGAATTTGGAAACAGAAAATCACAAAGCCCCACAAAGCTAAGAAGAGCCATAGATTTGGTACTTCACTCCACCACTGGCTGAACTAAAATATGGATGCATCACTGTTTAAGACTTAGCTACTATTTGAGGGGAAAAATCCATAGCAGTAAGCTCACTGTAAAAGGTCTCTTAGTCCACAGAGCTATGCCAGGAACACAGAAAAAGACTTTTGGAAAGGGCTTTTCCTGACCGCTGCCACTTCAACACATTTAACTCATTGCTGAGAGGGCAACCAGGGGATCTAACTTGGACCATCACTGCAAGTAACCAGGCAGATCAATCACAGCCTAAAATTCACAAAGTTAAAACAACAAGAAAATGACAGGACCACCAGATTTAGAAAATGTCCTACAATGTGCATTTTATTCCATATCATTATACAATGTTTACATATAGTTATAATTCTTAAGAAAATGCCTTTACCAATTATGTATGCAGTGCCTAGATCTTTTACCCTGACATGGAGAACTGGAAAGAGGGGCAGTCCACATTGAATGCTCTCTCCGCTGAGCTGGAAGGGGCTGCAAGTGTGTCAGTGGGGAAGGAATGGGACTCTTAAAGGACCAGTGTGGCTTCCAGACCCTTGACTTTAATGAACAGAGGCGTAAGAAACCCATAGTCTTGTCTGGAAGTAAAACTCAAAACAAAATAAATTAGTGTTGGAGAGAAATTTAATTGTATAACATTGAACAAAAGACCCCCAGGGTTCCTTTGTTTCAAGTAGCACCAACCCACACCTGCACCTGGCTGTCTCCAACCTCAGTCTTGTTGGCGACTCCACCTTGGCACTCTGGCTGGAAATCGTTCTGTTTTTGTGAGTCTTCCTACCCTGGCTAAGCAGACTGCATGCCTAAACGCTATGAAGTGTGGCAATGTCAACCTGGGAAGTGGCACGTTTAACTAAGTGCCCGGACTTGGGCTTGCCTTTCTGTGTGTCTTTCCCTACCCCCCGCCCTTAGCTGGTTCTTTGCAGATGTTTCGGTGACAGTGGTTAAAAGTATATAAAAATGCATCAAAGGAGTTTCCTGGGAAGCAGGTGTTTAAAAACAAAATAAAACAACGAGAGGGAAATGAAAGAATGTGGCCGCAGCTAAGGAGGTTTTCACATGTTGTTTAGCTCCAGTAAGGTCTGGTCCAGCATCTGGTGCATACTAAGGTTTTCTTCTTTGGCATGAGCCACTTTCTCTGCGATGGGATTAGAAAATTAAGTCATGAATAGCTGCACATCAGACTCGGTAGTGGTTTGTCCATTTAGTAAGCAAACATCAATCACACACACAGAAGAGGAATAGCACTCTACATGCGTAAGACATCACTCATTTCCAGACAAGGCCCTGGGTGCACCTCCACCATCCATCTACCCTGAAGCGCACGGTGTGTTTGGTGAAGGCTCACCCACTGCCTGCTGTGGGAACAAGGGAGGGGTAAAAACCAAACACAGATACAGCACTGTTACACAAAATGAAGTTAATGCCAGGACAGGATTCTAAGTTATCGACAGTTAAAGATCTGGTAGCTGTGTAAGCACACAACCTCACAGAAGCAAAGATGGCACAAATAGGTTTCTGACTGCTTTTTAAATGGCTTATTTCTACTGCTCACAAAGGGTTATCGACACATCTCATGCACACTTCATTAGGACATTCTCTTAGTATTTTTATAGTTTCCTACTTATTAGCATGACACTCATCAGATTCCAACACCGTTAAACCGAACAAAGCGTACCTTTCAACCAGGGACTTCTGATGAGCTCCTGTTTTCAAAAGCTATTTTGCCCAAGCATAGGTACATTGAATCACATTTCAAACACTATACATGTTATGAAGATGTTAGGAATACAAATTTGTAATAGATATTTAAAGCAGGACTCACAGCTGTTTAGAGGAAACAGAAAAAAAAAGTGGCTTTTTTTGGGGGGGACTCATCAGTGAGTTCAAAGAGGACCTGTTGATGCAGGAAGGGTTGAATTGACTGGTATAAATATTTTCACTTATATATATATATGTCATAAAAACTTTTGGTGCTAATGAGGATTCAACTGATATATACAGAGGAAATTGAGGCAAGGCTGGCCTTCCAACAATGCCTTTCCTATCCATTTGTGTAGAACATGATCCTTTTCAACTCCATGAATCATAGATTTCCTGCACATGGGTTGCATTCCTAGAACTCCACCCAAGTTTGTGCACACAAGTTTTTAATCCTCATTCAGAGCCAGCTTTAGTTCGTTAGTTAGGCGGCGGTTTTGCTCGAGTTGATGGTAGAGTTGATCTGGACAGGTCAGCAAGGGTTAGCAGAAAAGAGACAGAAGGAAGAGGTTAGCCCAAGTCAGTGAGAGGTAGTTAACAGACTAGAAGACATGGATACACAGGACAGTAACGTTGTGCCCTGACCCCAGGCCCTGTGCCCTGCGAGGGTGCATGGCAAGTCTTGGCAGAATGGAGAAAGGGCAGGATCTTGATGTAGAACAGAGGTACAGAGATGCAGGGTGAGGGAAGGAACCTATGTTCCTTTTGCACCTCACTAAATACATCCTGTGGCAGTTGTGACGCATGCCTTTAGTTTCAGCACTTGGGAGGAAGAGACAGGTGGATTTTTGTGAGTTCGAGGCCAGCCTGGTCTATAACTCGAGTTCTAGGACAGGCTCCAAAGCTACAAAGAAACCCTGTCTCAAAAATCACCACTCTGTGAGCTGAGCTATGTGCAGTTTGGGACAACAGGTTTGGGGACGAAAGCCAGGCTGGAGGCCAGCCCCTGCCACTCATGCCTTGCTAGAGCTCAGCAGAGATTCTAGGTGAGTCCCTGACAGCCCACTTATGTCGTCCACTCTTCTTGAACCCTATCCTCTCTGCTCAGAGTACAGTGTGGTTCTCAGCTGGTACTACCGTATCTGCCCCAAGGACATGTTTTGAAAAAAACTTCCCATTCCCCTCCTAGACACCAGGGGGACATACAAAGTCTGAGTTCTCCTGACTTCCCAAGTGTGTTACCTACAGCAAACAAAAATTCATCTCCACTTCACAATATTCAGAATGTATCTGCATGCTTCAAGAGGATGACATTCATGCTGTGTGCTGACAGCATGCATAAAATAAGTAAAACTGGGCCAGGATGATGACTCAGCGGGAAAGGTGCTTGTCTCACAGAGCCTGATGACAGAGTTTGATCCCCAGGTTCTACACAGTGGAAAGAAAATAGCCTGACTCCTAAGAGATGTCCTCTGACTTCCATATGTACACTGTGGTATGTGGAACACCCCCCCCAAAAAAACCCCTCTCAAACATCCATACTTGCCCAGTTGTGATACAGGTTTATTTACTACTATGTAATCCATCCAGGTGGCAAAGCAGTCCACCATGAGACTCAGCCTGTGTCTGATGATCCAGGGGACAGGCGGTGACAAAGAAAACAGCACACACTAGGAAAAGTGGGGTGTGTGTGATTGCTTAGAATGATGGGGACTCTGTGGACCTGGACATCCTACTTGATGACCTTGGAGAGCTAATAATCCTACTGCCTAGTGATTAGCCTTAGCACTCATCGCTGGGAAATGGGGCAGTTCTGTCAACTTTCTTTTGGAAATGGTAGGAGGTGGGGGAAGTTGCTATGCCCTTTGTTTGTTGCACACTATGAAGAACTATGTTCAACCTAGGCCTTTCCCTCTTATCTACATTTTCTGAATACTCAAAACTCCAGATGGCTGTCACCTCCTCCAGGCAGTGCCCAGGAGACTTTCCCTCCTCTGCTGGCTCCAAACACACATGTTTACCAGTGTAGACTCACCCCACTCCTCTCTTCCCACACCGCCAGCTTAGAAGAACACACCCACATCAGTCCTTCTTCTACCCTATTACCTTCCAATGTCTCCCATATACTTAGAAGCTGCAAAACAGAGACCCCATTACTACATCATCAGGGGAAATTACCACCATGAGCAGCAAGCAGAGGGACCTAGCTGGTGGGTTGATGACCTGAGAGCAGGGGTCAGACACATTTGTAAGTGCTCTTCCTCCTGCTCTGCACAGACTCCAGTTGTCTGGAGGCCTCTGGTCTCAGAGTCAGCAATGCTGTTAGTTTGGTTCAACTGAGGCTCCCGAAAGAGTTGCTGCTACAGACTGGCCCTTGCTAAACAGATTCTTGATCAACCCAACCTGCTGTCTGTGCTCCTGATGTGCAAACCTGAAGCTACCTAGGATCTGCCTTCAGGGTTCATTTGTTCTATCTCCCTCACAGTGAGCATTTAACGGGTGTGAGAAATCTCTTTGAGACTGAAGAAATTTGTATCCCAAGATGCATTAACGTCTGCTCAGAGGGACTCCAAGAGTCTTATTTCCTCTGTGGCAGAAAGCTCAGGGAAAGGGCATTGCTGTTACTCCAAGCTTTAAAAAGAACAAGGTTCGAAATCACTGAGAAGTGGGCCCAAGGAGTCTCAGGGAAATAAAACTAACAGAAAACAAAAGCAAGCAAACAAACAAAAAAACCACAAAACAACAACAAAAAACCCCAGAAAACTTTGCACCTTTCAGTGGAGAGACGCTGCCTGGATCATAAAATTAGAGTCTACCATGTCATTAACTAAAATATTTTAATTCAGACCCTTTGGTGCTTAAAAAAAGAGAATTCTCTCTACCCTGAAGACTTCAGAGTAAATGACTATTTTCAGAGTTTGCCCAAATTACTTGAGGAGAGTGGTACACCAGTCCTATTAGGCTAACAGGTACCACACACGAGACAGAGGAGGGTTACTCATGCTTAAAATAAAGGAACTGGAGCCAGGCTTACGTCAAGAGCTAAGAAGCCAGAGGTCACATTGTTTTTGTTTTGCTTTGTTTTGTCGAGACAGGGTTTCTCTGTGTAGCTTTGGAAGCTGTCCTGTAACTTGTTCTCTAGACCAGGCAGGCCTTGAACTCACCGAGATCTGCCTGCTTCTGCCTCCGGAGTGCTGGAACTAAAGGTGGGTGCCATCACCGCCTGGCCCAGATATCACTGTTTTAAAGTACTAATTATGAAATAAAAGTTACTAAACTGCTGTTTGTGACTGAAATCAAACATTGTTTCTTGGGGTGGGTGGGCTGTAAATCAACTGCAATGGCTCATAAATGAGGGGGAAACTCATCATATGTAAACATACCTTCTGCAGAATATAGGATATGCTTCAGAACACAAAAATAAACCATGACTCAAATACAGTTAATATTTAGAAACTCCATAATGTAATTTGTGTTCAAAATGAAGGTAATGAATATATTTAAAGAAAAAAACTTCAACTCACTCTTTAAAAGTGCTTTAAAAGGCCAATACATACATAACCATGACTTACAATCCTAGTTTTTCACGATATGCAATCTCCCTAGCTAGAGTACAAGGTAGCTACACAGACTCCCAGTACTTAGCCAGGCAGAGCCATCTCCATGTCATCACAGAGAGGGCGCCACACCCCAAACTAAACTTTTGGCAGAGGAAAACATTGCTCAAGCCAGAATTTGATTCCCACTATCTACTGTGTGGAGGTTCTGGACCCAAACTGTCACAATCATCACAATTCCTAAAACCATAGATATCTGGGCCTCACTACAGTGCCTAAAATCCAGGTAATATTTTTAAAAGTCACACAAGGAACTACAACTTTAAAAACTCCTGATGTCAATATATAGTGTGCAGGAAAAAAATGTGCCCTTAGATGCATGAAGCAGAACTGTAGTTTTATTCAGTGTTGACACAAAAACATCAATAAATAAGGAGTAAAAGAATAGCAAAGAGGAATAGCTTACAGTGTTTATTTTACACTGGGTGAATAGATCCTGTACAATAGAGAGCACAGTGTGTGCCTGGCCCTAGGGCGGGCGCTAAAAGGAAACCTGGGTCAGCTGGAGAACAGACAGATGCAGAGCTCAGAGAGGTGGGACATCCAGCTTGATGAAGGAGTCTTGGGAGGTGTGAAGCAAAGAAACTTATCTGTGTGAAACAAAAGGCAAGAGAAAGACAAAAAGTGGCGCAACAGAAAAGGAAAAAGAGAAAAAAAAGAAAACTACACGGATGACAGCCGTATGTGAAACGCAAGCGTGTTAGGGCATGTAGAACCCAAAGCAAGTGTTAGGGCATGTAAAACCCACTGCCAGCTGCACCTGGGGGAGGCCATCCCTGGCAACTACTACCTGGACCCACAGCTGTCATGGGCTAACCTTGAGGGTTCCAGGACAACTAGGGCTGTTACATAGAGATACCCTGTCTGGAAAAAACAAAAAAGAAAAAAGAAACAAACAAACAAAACCAACCAACCAAAACAAAAAACCCCAAACCCCCCAAAACAAAAATAACAACAACAACAAAAAAAACCCTTAAAAAACAAAACAAAAATAATCTTAAACTAAACCCTCCTTTTGGACATTTCATTACACTCAAAAGAGTTTTCCCCGCAGAGTACCACATTTTGGCACTGGGGAGGATGGTGGCTACAGATGGCTGCAGGTGACTTGGTTCCACTCTTCACTTACTAATGGTGGAGAAGAGGCATGCCCTTGTTTCTATGCCAATAGCCAGGTCTCTAAAGGATAGTCCAAGGCAGCAAGCACATGTCATGCACCTGAAGCTACTATATTTCTGAACAGTCACAGAAATACCATTCCCAGCTTTGAAGGGACCCAGCAGTATTAGAATGAAGAGCCCCCTGTGAACCATTTCCAGGGGTTAGAGTTACAAGAGGCACAAGTGTGGTTAGTAATATGTAAATTAGCTGTGTATGTCCGGGGGTCCTCAAACAAGGCCAACTTGAGTAAAATATGGACCATTAACTTCCAAATTCATATTGTAAAAATGTTTTTATTTCTTGCTTCTCTGATGTTGATTGTGGCAAGCATTTACTATGGGGTATTTTATTTCCATTCAATATAATAAACACAGCAAATAAGACTTGGTTCCTCAGGAGACCATTCATTTTTGCTCTGGAATGTTCTTTAAATTTTGTTTTATACAGGGTCTCACTATTATACCCCTGGCTAGTCTGGAACTTTTTATAGACCAGGCTGGCCTTGAACTAGAGATTAACCTGCCTCTTCTTCCCACATACTGGGATAAAAGCCATGTACCACCATGCCTGGCCATGCTCTGGAATTCACTACAGGGAGGGAGAGCTATGTACTGTGCCATGCTCATTTCCTTTTCCTCAGATTTTCGATAATCTGATACTTTAAACTTAACAGTGTTAAGTGAAAATGACCACACTGTACTTCACAGACAGAATCCCAGGAAACAACTTGGTATTTCTTCCTAAATTCCTGCACCAGTGCATTATGGCCTTCTAGTTTTATTTGAGTCTGGTGTAAGGTTTCAAAGCGATAGTACTTAGGGCCATTCAGAGTCCAGTTCATCTCTTAGCAGAAAGAAGCCAGGTCTGCATTTGTGGAATAAAAAGAATCTGAAATGGTTTGCAAGGACTGAATCCACTTGGCCTTTGTTAGTGCAATGTTAAAATGACCGTGGCTACCCGAGGCTATGCAAGAGAGTCAACAAAAGGGGCAAAAATGGCAACCACAGACTGAGAAGGGAGCTGTGGTGAGTTCGTCACACAAGCATGAGGGTGAGGGTGTGAGCAGGCAGTGCATGAACATTTACATGGAAGTCATATCGTTGAGAGCGTGGTCCAGCTCCTCGCTGATGGCTTTGTACTTCAGTTTCTGAGCATACAGCTCGTCTATGAGCAGGAAGTGGAAGGCAGAGATGCAAGGACATGGGGAATGGTCAAGAGATGGAGGGTGAGCAAGGGTGGCGGATGCCATCCCGACACGTCAGCAAGGAAAAGGCAATGCATGAAGGGGTTGGTGCCGCAGCGGATGGCCAATGCAGGAGGCGTGCGATTTGTTTTTAAAGAGATTGAAACAAAAACAAAGAGAACAAAAACCCATTAGAAAATAAAACAAGAAAGAGCCAATGTGAAAAACACAACACCGATGGTAGGAAATACCAATGAACCGTTAAATCCTAAAGACACCACAGAAGATGGTTCCCCCTGGAGGGTAATGGAACATCTTTCTTTTCACAGAGATGTCTATTTATACTGGAGTAGTCAGCCAAAGGCAGCAAGTTCAATTTCCAATGACAGTCTTCAAACCACTCACTTCTTGCCCAAGCCCCACCAGTCTCTCTCTCTCTCTCTCTCTCTCTCTCTCTCTCTCTCTCTCTCTCTCTCTCTCTCTCTCTCTCTCTCTCTCTCTCTCATCCACATTTTAATTTGTAATGGTGGTGGGTTTGTGCCTTGCCATACACTGGCAGGCTTGTACCCACACCCCGTTTTCTCTTCTCTTTTTTTGTTGTTACTTGTTTGTTTTTCTATTTCTTTTTCAGACAGGGTCTGCTAGCTGGCTTGGGATTTGCTATATAACCCAGAGTGGCCTCAAACTCACAGAGCTCCACCTGTCTTGGCCTCCTGAGTGTTGGGGTCAAAGGTGAGTGTTCCCATGCCTGGCTGTTATCTTGGTAATTAACTGCATCGCCAGTCAGTCCCCGCTTCAACCCGTTCTGACTGTGATGTATGGTGCTCTTTTGTTTTGTTTTGAAAAATGCTGAAGTGTGATCCTGAGACTCAGTGCCCTATTAATTCCTACCCTCTGTCCTTTCAGGATATAGAATGCTAACGAATGGCTTAAGAAAGAAAGAAAAAAAACCAAACCAAAACCAAGCCTTTCTTCTGGGCACACACTTGGAAGACCGATGTGTTTAAAACAAATCCACATTGTTCTGACAATTAGGAAATATCACCAGAGACACGGAATATACCAGAATCACATTCATCTATAATTACTTCACTCAGTGAAAAACAGCCCAGACCCACTTCTGAAATCCAAGAAATTAGACATAAGCGGTCTGGTGGCTGACTAGTCACCCCAAGAGCTGAGGACTTGGGCCCGAGAGTTTCGGTGTCACAGACAAGAACCCCGGAGGAGAGCCATACAGGAAGTGTGAGAACAAAATGCAGCATCAGGGAGGAAGCCCTTGGATCGGATGACTGCTTATCATGACGGTTATTCAACAAGGACTGAATTTAAAATGTTAAAGACCTTACCTTCTAAGTCATCGATGCTTTTCTCCAATTTAGTTACTGATCTCTCTGCAAACTCAGCCCGAGTCTCAGCCTGTAATGATTTAATTCATTTGAGTCAAGGTCAGGGAGATTCTATCCAGTAGCTTCAGACAGAAGGAAAACCAGAGGACAGACCTCAAGTGTACATCACCCAGGAAATGTCAGGTTCAGCCCCTCCTGTAAGCAACAGCAGCTAGCTAACATGGTACATGAACTACAAGAAAACCTCTGAACAGGCCTGCCTTGGACCATTGATTCCAAAGGACAGTGCCTTGACCCACTACAGAACCTTAATCACAATCCAGCCAGTTTTCTCCAGACTCTCACAACATTACCTCCTTCAGCTTGTCAGAAAGAACCTTGATCTCCTCCTCATATTTGTCTTCCTTCTGCGAGTACTGTAATTAGAAAGAGCGGTCCAGATGTCAGGCTGCGGCTCACACTCGCGCCTTCTCACACAAGGAACATGCCAGCCCAACCAGCAGATGCTGGGGATCTTCTAGCAGGTAACAGACCCTCAGGTATCACATGGCACACTACAATACATTCTCTGCTTCCTTGCCTATTGCTTTACATGGGATAAGAGGGAGATAACTTATCCACTTGGCACTTTGTTTAAATTAAATTGATGATTTACCCAACATGAGATACATTATCTGCTAGTCGTTCTAAGAAACAACACAACAAGAGCGCCCTACTATCCGGTGACCATTAGGAAACCATCTCAAAATGTTGCCACTTGCTAAAATGCCTCCTGTGCCTTTATTTCCACCAGCAGGCAGGGCTTCTTTTGAGCAGCGCTTAACGACGGAGTCGTCCCCACTCCCTGCTCCTGGCCTACCTTCTCAGCCTGAGCCTCCAGTGACTTCAAGTTGTTCGTCACCGTTTTCAATTCTTCTTCAAGCTCGGCACATTTGCTAATGTTTTCGATCAGAAGCAGAAAAGGTGGGAGACAAGCCCAAGGAGCCAGGAGAGAAAAAAAGGGAGAAGGATGGGAAAAAATGAAAACTGAGTCCTAGAGATGGGGTGGGGGTGGGGGGCTGCCTTAAGTAGCCAAACCACGAGGCATGAAGCTAGGTTTTGCCATGGGCTCTGCCTTCCATTGCAACAGTGGAAGGGCAGAGGGACAAAATCCAGCAACTCCAAGGTGTGATAATTTGGCTTCTTATTGGCCACCCCCCTCAGAGTATTTATGAAGGGAAAAACAAAGAGCATAAAGGACCAAGAGAAAGCACTTGAAGCAAGATATAAATAGCAGAGGGTGTAGTGAAGGTACAGTCATTACACCAAACCAACCAGTAGGCATTGGAAGCTCAAAGCTGTCTGGGATGCAGTTAAACCTAAAAACCACACGTGAGCCATCAGTACCTTATCCTCTGCAGCCATTAATGCTTTCAAGGTCTGATCCATTATTCTTAATTGTTCTTCCAGCTGTCGGACTTGGCTGTTAGTGGACACAGGAAATGCACAAGGCCATTCACAAAATCAGTGCAGGTAAGGCATGCAGTGCCACACGCATTCACAGACACCCCACATGGTTCCTCCTTGGCCCAGGCTCACGGCTCATCCATATCCTAGTGAGCACACAAGGAGCCTGGAGCCGAGGTGGGGGAAGGTGCAGCTGCCAGGAGGTCATGCTTGTTTAGTCGTTGCGCTGCAGCATCCCCACAGGTGGTGGCAATGGGCCCGCTTACCCTTCCGAGAGCTCAGCCCGCTCCTCTGCACGCTCCAGGTCACTTTCAATGATGACCAGCTTACGGGCCACCTGCAGCAGGGCAAACACAGCAGACGCACTGTGGTCTTGCATACTTTGTGTAGGGGGTGGTTATAGGGTAGAGATTGCATCCACTAGCCCTAGGGATTCTCGTCTACAAATGGAACACTCCTCCTTCTGCAGGCTAGAGACAGGCACTCTCCCTCAGCAGAGCCCAGGGCCCCTGCTCAGAGACCGGAATGGTTAGCTCTTCCCATGTGGAGTCTAGATAATTACACAGCGCCCGGAGCAATTCTCGGAATGAGAGAAATATGAAATCTGCAATCTTAAAAATAGCAGGATGATGAGACATGAGGAGGCATTTTAGACTGAAAAGGAAGGGGCTGCCGAGAGCACCAAAAATAAACCCAGGGACTATACCACACAGAGATCTGTGCAGAAGACAGGAGCCAGTGAGATGACCGGCAGGTCAAATCTGCAGCCAGAAATGCCACCCCAGAGAAAAGGCTCCTCGGAGGCAGCTCAAAACCATGGAGCAGTTCAGACAGCCATGGTGAAAGACCGAGAGAAAAACCGGAACCTACAGCCACCCTGGCTGTCATCATCATGTGTCATTGTATAGGGACAATCACCAGGATCTACTTCACTGCAGACAGAGCTTGTGTTAGCAAAGGGTTTCTACCACCCTGGAGAAGCCTCTAGGTATCTCCCAAGGAGCTCTGTGGTCCATGTTCTCTACAACGTCTGAACTGAAACATCTGTGCCATGACAACAGGCCAGCTTCCTTCCCTAAGGCCCAGTTCTCCTTCTTCCTGACTAAAGACATTTTTGTCCGCGCCTTTAGGGTGTGGGGAAGTATTGATTCTCCTCCCAGGGCACATGACTGGCTGGCTTTATCACAGTAAGAACCAGTTTCTGCAGGTAAAGGAACCCCGTCTCTCAGAACCACTCACTTATATCAGGGGAGCTAACTGTTACACCCAGGAGCCCAGACAGCATCCTACTCCCCCAAGGTCATGGCTGTGAGTCTGTAAGGCTCTGGGTCCCAGAAACTGACCTCTTCATACTTGCGGTCAGCATCTTCAGCAATGTGCTTGGCCTCTTTCAGTTGGATCTCCTGAATTTCCATCTTTTCTTCATCCTTTTGGGCTCGGCTTTCAATGACCTTCATGCCTCTGGAAAGACAGACAAGCAGGAAGACCCAAGATGGAGAGATGACCACTGCTACTGCAGGGTATGAGGCTCCCTGAGTGCAGCCAACCAAAATTGAACAGAGACCCATGTATTTTCCAAAGCACAAAGCAAAAATTTCCAGAAAAGACACACATTTCTGTCTGTTCACTGTGAATGGGATCTTTGGGTGAACTCTGGGTACCCGTGGAACTTCTAAGTCACCTATCTTAAGTGGAAGGTGCTATGTCAGGTTCCTATTTGAATCTGGGAAACATGAAGGGACGCTACCAAGCTTTATTTGTTAAATGTGGAGATTCTCCCCTTTCTCCTTTTTCCTGAGGGAAAGCCTTGGATTAAAAATGGATGAATCCAGGTGTGGTGTCGCACACCTTTAATTCCTGCACTTAGGAGGCAGAGGCAGGTGGATCTCTGAGTTAGAGGCCACCCTCGTCTATACAGAGAATTCTAGGACAGCCAGAGAAACCCTGTCTAGGGTGAGAAAGAAAAAGAAAGAAAGGAAGAAAGAAAGAATAGATTAGCAAAGAGAGAAACAAATAGGTGTTGGGAGGCAAGTCTGACACTGGATGGTATAGCACGGTGTTACAGTTCAGAAAATGTTACCTGACCTAGATTTTACAGATTTATGGCACACCTGTGAGGGAGTTTCTGGATGGGACTAGAGGGGGCCACTCTAACTGTGGGCAGCACCATCCCACAGGCAAGAGTCCCTGACTAAATAAAAAGGAAGCTAGTCGAGCACTAGCATTCACTGCTATCTGCTTCCAGACCAGCTGCCTCATGTTCCTGTCGCCAAAACCTGCCCCCAGGATGGGCTGTGTGTCCCTTTGAACCACGAGACAAAATAAACCCTTCCTTTTTTAAGTTGGGTCTTGTCAGGTGTTCCATCACACTAATAAGAAGGAAATTAATAAAGCTGGCCTACAGGAATCATGGTTCCCTTTACTATGTCAAGGCTGGGTCTTTACATATAGGTCAGGTTACAGCAGGAGTAGATACAAAACATAAGAGCACCTGACTGTGTCTGTGTGTACATGTGTATTAATACAAAACATTTCATCTGTGCAGGGCCTAGAGATTATATCGGTTTTTTAAAAACATTTATTTATTATGGATAGTGTTCTGCCTGCATGCCAGAAGAGGACACCAGATCTCATTAGATGGTTGGGAGTCACCATGTGGTTGCTGGGAATTAAACTAAGGACGTACAGAAGAGCAGCCAGTGCTCTTAACCTCTGAGCCATCTCTCCAGCCGGATCATATCTTTTTGTTTCTTTGTTTTTGTTTTTCAAGAAAGAGTTTCTCTGTAGGTTTGAAGACTGTCCTGGAACTCTCCCTGAAGACCAGGCTGGCCTTGAACTCAGAGATCCGCATGCCTCTGCCTCTCGAGTGCTGGGATTAAAGGTGTGTGCCACCAACGCCCAGCTGATCATATCTGTTTTATCTATGCTTTCTCTTCTGTTTGCTTGCAGGTATGTCTGTGCATCATATGCATGCCTAGGGCCAGCAGAGGCCAGAAGAGCCCTAGGCTAGAGTTACAGACAGTTGTGAATTGCCATGTGGGTGCTGGTACTCAGGCCAGGGTCCTCAAAAGAGAGCAGCCAGTGCTCTTAAATGCTAAGCCCTCTTTCCAGCTCAGTGTGTATAAGTGCGTGCGTGTGTGCGTGCGTGCGTGTGTGTGTGCGCGCGCGTGCACGCGCACGTGCGTGCGTGTAGTGCACACACAGGAGTTACACAATGTGGTCTCACCTCTCACTCTCATCTGCGGCCTTCTCAGCCTCCTCCAGCTTCTGCAGAGCTGTGGCCAGACGCTCCTGTGCACGATCCAACTCCTCCTCAACCAGCTGGATGCGTCTGTTCAGAGACGCCACATCAGCTTCAGCCTAGGCAGAAAGCGAGACACTTCAGAGCCGGCAGGAAGTGAGGGTGCTACCTTCAGACACCCGCCAGAACTGGAGGGCTGGTTCCAGACAGGAAGTCTGGAGCCTGGTGTGAGCTAGCTTCCAGTGTGTTGCAAGCCCTGACCAGCTCAAGTCCTCACACGTGAGCAACACACTTGGACATACACACAAACCTAGAAACAACTTTCAGCAGAGAGGGGACCATCAGCAACACCCACACTCGCACACGCATATGGACGGCCATGTCCTGTTCCAGCACCCAGCGCCGTGCCTTTCACCTGCTCGTTGAAGGAAAGCTTCCTCACAGCCCTCTGCGTGCTGGAAATGTAGAGAGCGACGTCAGGCCCTACCCAGGCTCAGTCACACAGTCCCTAGCAGTATGATCAGAAGTTGGAACGCCATGTTTCATCAGCTATCCTTTCTCTGAGCAACTTCTCAAAAGAGCCTTACAATGAAACCAAATGCTTTAAAACCCAGTGGTTTTAAAAAATACATACCAGGAAAATTAAAACAGAAACACCCCCAAACCAAAACAACAACAAAAACCCATACCATATGGAGAACTAACGCCATCTAGAAACTTTCCCTTTGCCCCACCTTTTCAGTAACCTCTTTAGAATAACTGGCCTCACTGGAACAAAGCCAAGATAAATTTCCCAAGGGTTTTGACCTAAGCTATGGAATTTCTTCAAAGTCAAGGTTGCTACAAGAAAAGTTTCACAGGTCTAAGGAGAAAAGCAATATGGATACTGTTTTGGAATCTAGCTTTGAATTAAAGTGCTTCTCTCTTGGGCGGGCAAGGACTGATTGCTGTTGTAAGTGCTTGTCCCACTGTGATACCCCCCCATCCTAGACTGCCTGGAAGGGAGGGTGGGACTTGCTAATTAGGTCGCAATTATTTATCCTCATCCATTCTGAACCTGTGTTCAAAGACTATTGGCCCTTAGGATATTTAGGAGCCAATTTTCTAACATTTGCAATAAATTAGAGTCCATGCGACTAGTGTGTGTCTTGCCTGAAACTTACTGTATGTTGCTTAAGTTCAAGGCATCTGCTCTCCACAGAGGCCGGGGCTCCACAAATATCTACTGACCCGAGCAAGTAAAAACGTCCTAATTTAAACAACAGCAGCTTTCAAAGCTCTCAAGAGAACTGGAAATGCACGAGCAGTTAGAGAGGCCCCAGTCATGGCCTTGAGTCACAGGAAATGAGACCATTCAGTTCTGTGCCCATCTAGACCTGTGTCAGTTTTATCTGGAGCATGGCAGTGAACAGGGAATCTCCCACCACCATGAATGGCTGTAGTCTTTTTAAAAAAATATATAAACATTTTAGACACACTTATCTCAAAGAAAAAAACTACTATGTAGTAACTGGCGGCCAGGGGCAGGAAGCAGGGCCAGTGTGAAATGAATGGGAGGGGCAGTTACTACTGAACCATCCCACAAGGTCAATCATTATCAGAGAACACTTGGAACTGGACCAAACTGGGAAGTTCCTGAATGACTGGGCTTTTCCTTGAAGGGTAGGGGGATTGGAATAATCAATTTCCTTCTTTCTTTCTCTTTTTGAAACAGGGTTTCTCTGTGTAGCTCTAGCTGTCCTGGAACTAGTTCTTGTAGATCAGGCTGGCCTCGACCTCACTTGCCTCTGCTTCCGAGTGCTGGGATTAAAGGTGTGTGCCACCACTGTCCAGCCCAATTTTTTAACTACAGAGAACTGCCTATAAACAACCATTCCCTTTTTTTAATTTAATTTTTTAATTTAATTTTTTAATTTTATGTGTATTAGTGTTTTTGCCTACCTGTGTGCATATGTACATGTGTGCTTGCGGTGCCCATGGAGGTCAGTTTCAGATGCCCTGAAACTGGAATAGCCATGTGGGTACTGGGGAGAACCCAGGTTCTCTACAAGAGCAGCAAGTGCTTTTAACTCCCTCAGCCTCTTTAATTGGAAGCACACATATTAAGGCTATAGTTTGGCCGGGCGGTAGTGGCACATGCCTTTAATCCCAGCACTCGGGAGGCAGAGGCAGGCGGATCTCTGTGAGTTCCAGGCTAGCCTGGTCTACAGAGCAAGTTCCAGGACAGCCCCAAAGCCACAGAGAAACCCTGCCTAGAAACAGCCTCCCCCCAAAAAAGGCTGTAGTTTTGGGTCAGGTTATATTTCTTCATCTTGCATGTATTCCATTTCTAGGAAAATTTCTATTCCTTTTACAAACAGGGAGGTAGGGGTGGAGACAGAAAACAGAAACAGAGAGCCGATTGGGACTGGTGTGTCAAGTCCTGTGGTCCCCCGACACCTTCTTTCTTCTCTGACACTAAGGTGGAAGGTTCTGGGCTACCCAATGCCCCGAGTAGTCTAACCTATATGGACAGACACTGACCAGCAATAGTTACTACAAGAAAATCAGCCATTTCCATTAAACAACTCATGTTTTTAAAGGCCAAAAAGTGCTGATAAGGATTTCTCTAGACTACCTAGGTAGGTCACGTCCAAAAGTACTTTTCTTACTATATTGTTAATAATAAGCAGGTAGATCACCAGGAGGCCAGGGCGCCCCTTTCCATCAGTCTGTCTGCACACACTTCTCTTTGCCCCACCCCTCCATACACTTATCCTTTGGCTCTGACGCTGCTCGGCTGAAGGCTGCTTTGTAACTATCCCCACACTCCTCCCCCAGCATCGGTTTTTAGAACTCTAAACTCCCTGACACAGGTTATTTAATGTCCTCCAACAAGGCCAGCCAAGGGGCTCACAAAGGGTGCCTATGCAGTGACTGGGCTTAAGGACTGGCTCCTTTGGGCCAGTTTTGACAGAGAGGACTGGCACACACAGCAGAGCTTTAGGGACCACATCTGGAGGAGACACTCTAAGTGTACGTAATGAAGCCCCTTTGTTTGAACTGGACTAGAAGAACCTGGGCATCACACAGGGGCAAACACTACCTGGACACATGACCCCACTGGGAGATGCATCACAATAGAAACAGACTCCTGGGTCCCGTGCCTAGAGATTAGGACTTGAGGTCGGTGCAAAGGGGCAGGACTGCACTGTAAATAAATGGCAAGTCCTTCTTCTCTTCTGTCACCACCCAAAGAAGCTGGGAAGTATTGCAGGAGCTGCCCAGCAAGCTCCCTACTAAGCCAGATGGCAGAATCTCTTTCTCCTAGAAACCAGAACGGAAGTTCTCTATCACCCCCTGACCTGCATAACCCCAAGCAGTTTAAGAGATTGTAGGGACAGATACTAGCAAAGTAGTTTTTGCAAGAAAATCAGCAAGTCACCTCAATTCTTTTTTAAAGGCAGGATGTTCTGGTGGGTAACCAGTAGCTCAAACAAGGACACAGATCTCTAGCCCCCAAGAATGAGTACTTGAGATTAGAGCCTGGGAGTCACTAACAGGCCACCTTGGGGAGGGGGGGGGAGGGACCGGACAGGACCCTGCACTCTGGCTCCATGGGCTCTCTTGTGCTGGTCTAGTAGAAGTTTTGGAGATCTCCTCAGAATCCAAGACAAGTTTAATTTCCTAATAAAAGTCCAGCTTCTTATTCTCGTACCCTCACTTTGAGTCTCTGATGTCTAGGCTGGCTGGAGATGCTTCCGCCTCAGCAATCTCAAGCCCAGAGATTACAAACACGAGTCACCCTGATTTACTATGTTCTGTGTTCCATGGGCCACCTTTACCAGATTTTGTTTCTGGTTTGGGTTTTTTTTCCTCAGGGTTGAGACTTTTCTAGATATTTCCTGAGGGTCTCAATATTACAGCTCCCAGGTTGTCTTATGTATCTGTTGCTGATGTCTGTCAGAATGCGCCTACTGCCCTGTGCCTGTCAGCAAAAATAAGATAGAAATAGCAAGGCATTTGGGGAGGGTCAAGACCCCAGATGCAGATTATTCCTAGGCATGTAAATCACCCATACCTCAACATTGCCAGCGAAGCCTTTCCAGTTGTTGGGTTGCTGGTTTCCAAAGTGCTACTGGAACTCAACATGTAACGAGTTACTCAGAAAGAGACTGTTGTATTGGGGAGATTATGAGCCCTGGCTAAACCACCACCCAGTGCTCACACATGTGAGATCCTTGGTGGTGTACGTGCTCCGTGCCTGTGTCAGTACTAGCTCCCACCAAGGAAGTCCTGCAAGCTCACCATTCCTACACTTCGCCCTGCCTTCAAACAAGGAAGTGGCTACCTTAGAAAAAAACAGGCACACACCATTGCCCTACCCAAGAAGGAACTATGCAGAAATCAGTGCTTCCACTCCAGCACAGCAAAATGTTTTTGCAAACCAGACATGAATAAAGCCTAAGATTTACATGAAATTCACATGTTTTAGTCAATACAGAAAGAAGAAAATCCTTTACTCTGAAAGCCAATGCTCTGGAATATATTTTCAAAGTCCCGACTGAATCCAAGCAGAGTCTGGAATGATCAAAGGTCAGATTTTTTTATTTCATGTAAACTGTAGTTACAGTGAGGGTTTTACCCAGCTAGCAGTGTATGACTGAAAAGACTAGGGCCAAACTAAACTTCTGCCCTTTCCTTTTATGGTCAAGAAAAGGGAAACACACACACACACACACACACACACACACACACACAACATTAGGGGCACTCCCATGGATAGCAGATAAACAACAGCCTCCTCTATCTGGGCCAAAGCCTGTAATTTGTGAGGCATGAGGGAAGGGAGGGGGTGAGGTACTGAGGTGCCTTGCTGTGACTGCATAGGAACATGGGAACCCAGAGTATTGTCGGTCACTGCCACCCTGGAAATGCCAGGGCAAACACAGAGCATGCTCAGTTTCCTGGTTCCAGAAGAAGCTGCCAATGCTGAAGAGTCAGGAAAGGGCTGGGGATTTGGGAAACTAGTTATTTCCCATGATTAATAGTTATCCAATAAGAACCTGCTTGCACATCTAAGCTCCTCATCTGCTAGGTTCTGCCCAGAAAGCTGGAGAAAGAAGTGACTTTTTTCTAC